AATGAGTAAAGGACTTAAAGGTTTAACTGGTAAAATGAAGTGCATTAATACATTTAGAAAGGGATCTGCTGCAGCTAACAAAAGGATGTTCCATTTTAAGTAGGAGCTCAGCTTTTTTGTTACAGATGCAGATGAGAAGATCTTCCTTAAAATTAAAGCACTCTGTTTATAAAGAAATTTTTCCTAAGGACCTACAAGTGAATCTGTTTTCTTCATTAGGAGGTAGCTTTAAAGAATGTATTTCTTAAAAAGCATGGCATCTGTGGTCAAGCCAGCTTGGGGGTTTTTCTTAATTCTCTAATTGAAATTCCTGCATCAGCAGAGACAGTTCTGTGGCAGCTGCCTATTTGGGGCAGTAGTCAGCAAGCCTGAGGTTTCTGAGCATCTCTGTGACATCCTTGTTGTGCAGTTCAGTGTTCTGCCTCCTGTCTGGCAGAATCAGGTACTACGGACTTGGTTTCACTGTCCCAAGAACTGTAAGGAGTGTTGGCCTTTTTGGGAGAAGACCTCAAGCGTGACAAAACCCAAGCAGATAGTCACCAAAAACGGGTGACTTTCAGTGTTTGGTATGACCACCTTTGCTTGAAGATGAGTGACCGGTTTGTGAGAAACGGCCTGCAAGTTGTGGCTGATTTTAAGTAGTTCTTTTTAGAAGGCACCTGGTGTATCCCACCTACCCCAGTGTTGGAAGGCCAGGGAGTGGGTGCAGGTGCGTGTCAGAGTAAGGTGGGCTCGGAGACAGGACAGAGGCAGGTGGTGGCGATGTGGGCGTGTGCACGCACAGGTGGAGGTTGAAGGGGAGAGAGGGTGGGTGGAGGACGGGGATTGACAGGACAGGATGGGAGATGGACAGGGCAGGGCAAACCAGCTGCTCAGCAATGCTCTAGAGGAACGTGCATCTCAACATGGCTGTGTTATTTTTGTGCTGCTTTACCACAGCGTTAAGTAGCCAGAGTGTATCCCTGAATTGGGCAATAAAAGTTAAAATAAACAATTATTAAAGAATCAACATACTTTGTATTTGCAAATCATTTGAAAAACTTGCGAGGTAGCATTCTCTGGGCTGCTTGCTTGTTGTTTGTGCATGAGTTTTTTCAGTGTAATAAAGGTACATTGTTTCTGTTTTGCAATGTTAAGATGGAATTAAGGTTAAGAATACATTCAGTTATTGCGGACAAAATATATGAAAGGTATGTTGTAAATATCCCCAAGATAAGTATTATAAACCCAGGAAATACTCAGAATTAAGGTCAGATTTGAAAGAAATCCAAACAAATCAGGGTATGGAAATGTGCGGCTATTATAGCACATGGTGACACTGAAGCAAAATCAGAACTTACTTTGTCTGTGATAACATGATGAGTTTGTCTGGTTACTAATGAGCAGAGTTGAAGTAATTCTTAGCACATTTCAGTACCTTTTTTTACTATAAGAAATTTTGGCTTTAAAGCAAATGTAACATTTCTATGAAATGCCTTAATTTTTGGAAGGAACTTATACAGTTTTTGTTTTTATTTTTTATTTTTTTCCAGAGTTTGGACTGTTAGAGGTTTAATGCTCCCATTTAGTCTTTGTGTTGTTCAGCAACATCCTTGTATCTCACCAGCATCCATGTCATACCAATTTAGGAGATTGGCAGCATGTATAAATTATAAAACATAAAGAAAGCACCATGAAAACGTGTAGCTAGTTGGAACATTGTAAGCTCTGGCTGTACAGGTGGGGTGATTATGAACAGTATAAAAATGAAGCATGTATGTGGGCTTAGTAATTCCTACCATGCACCCGTTTCATCTGTGGAGTTCAGTTGCACAAAAATCATATTCTTTTTCTTGGCCACAGTGAAAATTCGGTTTTTCAGAGCTGGGATGAGAGTTTAGCTATTCTAGATTGTTTTTTTAATCTTTTGTGTGTGATTTTTGCTGGGCAATACTGTGCTTCTCTGAAAGAAGAAGATTGATGTCAGTGGAAAACATACAATTTTCCGTAATTTTTGCATGTTTTCTAAAATCCCTTAACTCATTTAAGTTCTGTAATATTTGAGCCAGTTTAAACTGTGAATGCACACATGTGCACATGCTGTTGTGGTAAATAACTTCTTAATTTATTGTCCTGGCTGCATCCTCCAAACTCATTCAAGAAGCAGACCTGCCTGAGCACATTGCTTTTATGGTCCTCCTAATGAAATGTGAGTCGTACTTGGCTCAGATGCCCTGCCTTGAGACAAATTTTTCCCCAGAGAGCTATAAAGTTTCTTCATTTGATCTCTTTGCTGATGGAATTAGCATTGCTGCAGATTGCAAACCAGGGAGAATGCTCTTCTCTTGTCTTCTCTCTGACATACTGTGGCAGAACACCTCCCTCCAGGCCCTGTGTCTGCACTGCCACCTGCCCCTCCTCTTTCACACCCTGAGCTTGTTTTTCAAAGGCTGGTTTTTCCTTTCTTCCCCATCCTTTTACTTAATTTGCAGGAGGAGGGAGCTGGCCTGGAGCCATGTTAGGAATAATTAAGGTTACATTTATTCATTCGTGCATCTCATGGAGTGAATATGAGCTGATGGGAATCTTTCACAAAAAACAATCAACATATCCTAACACCCTCTATTCTAGGATGCTTTTCTACAAATACCACCACTCACCCAAGGCGGGCCACGATGCTGATTGTTCCAGAGTCCTTGCTTGAGGTTCATTCTCCTTTTTTCATTTAAATAAATTTATACTGCTCCTCACTAGTGCTGTCAATCTCTTTGCCCTCAAGAAGTAGGTTTGCACTCCATCTGTGTAGGCAGAGCACTCACACATTAATTGGTAAGAGCAGTTACAGTTTGGGGCTAAAAGGGATTTCAAAAGTTGTAGTTTTCTGATGACTCTGTAGGGATCTGAAGGACCTGTGTGTGTTTGTCCTACGGGATATACAGTCAGTCACAAGATCAGAAGCGAACAGTGATGCCCTTACATAAAAGACTACCTGTACTTACTGTGCCTTTTCTAAATTTGTTTGGATGTCATGATGACTTCTGACGATTCTTCCTGTAGGCACAAGATCACACAGCCTCTTAATGCAGAGACTTGTTCCGTTACATACTATAGTCTGTTTTAAAGGACCATCTCCCCTTTAAACAGTCATCTTGTTGACAGTTATTTACTTCTTTGGTAGGTATTTCCAAATAGGCAAGTGCCTGTCTGATGAGACGAGTTTTATTCAGACAAAACAAATTGTTCTTTGTTGACATAACCGATGTGTGTCAAATCTTTTTCTGTAGTTTGTTATCACCCATCACTGTTTTCCCCATCCTGAAAGTTTTCTTTAGAACTGAAGCCACTTACTGGTGCCAGGGCAGAAGGTGTGCACAGTCTCTCGACAAAGCTGCTCTGAAGCTGTGACCCTGCTGGTGGATACTTGGCTTTTCTGTACAGGTAAGCCAAAAACAGCCTAATCATGCATCCAAGCCTATATAATACTGGAAAGATTTTGTGTATTGCTGAAGCATGAATAAAGTGTAAATCTTAAATCCCTCAATTGTGATCAAATTGCGATTACTACTAAGAATACTGAAGAGAGAATAACTCCCGGTTTATTCCCCAGGATTGTTGGCTTGGAGCTCTCCATGCCACTGGAAATACTGACACTTTCACAGTATTTATTTTAAAAACATTTATTTGATTCTTCTCTACAGTTAAAAAGATATCTGCTAATAAAATTCAGTACAAGATTAGCAAGAGAGTTTTTTCCTCAAAGCGTAAGGCATAACCACTTAGTGTTTTATGTAAGTGTTAGACTTGAGAGGCTGGACTTCATTTGTATAAATTCTTCCCAACTGGAAAAATTTTTATTCCACATTATTGACCAGTTTAGAAGGCAGATTTCATTTTGATAACCTGTTTTTTTAATTGAAAAGTCAATTAGCAAAAGATGTGTTCTTTTGCTATTTTTATTCTCTCAAAGAATAGAGAAGAAGACAGCGCTGTTTCCCAGTTGCTGTGTGTCTTCCATTAAGTTTTACTGGATTCTCCCAGATCCTTTAAAATAATTTGTTGAAATAGGATTTTTTTTCCCAGAACAGCTGTTTCCTCTTATATTTAAAAGAAATCCACAATCACTCAAGAGGCAGGAGGGTAGGAGGGAAGATGTAGGTGTGTTGAGACTTTTGAAAAGAAAAGAATCTGCCTTCTTAATAGTAAAACTTTGGAAGAAATAAAATCATGAGAATCTGAAGGATTTTTCTTTTAAGAATCTCTTCTCTGTCACATACTCCCTACTTTCATGTTTATCTGGTTTTTTTGCAGTGTGATATTTGATTTTAAATTTTCAGGAGTATCTGCCTTCACTTTTTGAACTCACAGTGAGAAACACTCCATCTCTATGCTGTGTTCTCCCGTTGGCTCTACTGGCTGGTAACAAGGTGGAACTATTTGCTGCTAATGCCTTATAGATATAAGTAGGTATGTATGCTTCTTTAAAAATGAGGCAAGAGTTGGCTCTAGAGTGTGAAATATTTGCCTCCCTGTAGCTTAATTATTGAAAAATATTCCATGTACCTGAGAGGAATGCGTTGGAAGAGAAGTGTTTGATCTGTGAGCCCTTGTGATTTATCTCCACTAGCCTAGTCAATCCCATCAGTTACAACTTTCCCTTTCTTCCAACCTATTCTGATTTCCCTTTGTATGAAATTTGCCCTCACTCATAAATTTAGTGTCAGTTCACCTTCTGGTTTTGACCCAGTGGGGTGGTGCAGCTTGGAGCTCTTAAAACTGCACCATTTGCTGAATGGAGCAAATGACTTCCCAGGCAGTTCATCCGTTCTCCTCATGTCTTGCATCTAATTGCTGTGTTTATCAGCTGGTACTTCTTAGAGATACAGCAAGTTTTTATCTTGTTAATTACTGCAAGTGGAACTGAGGAGTCATTTTTGATTGTGCAATCCAGGCGCCTGAGGAAAATTCTTGCTGTCTTTTGTCAGACCACCTCTGCCCCAAAAATGGCTTTTCAACATCAGAACTGCATTAATAAAATGTTTATTTAGCACCTTTCAGGTTGAAGGATCCAAAAGCACTTTACAATTAACTACACACATCATCACTGAAATGCATCCAAGCAGAAAATCAGCAAACTCACTGCATACATTTCAAAAAGAACGGTCTTTTGGCCAGAAAGCAAAGTAGAGGCTCTAATGACCTGTCGCAAACGGGATTCTGATTTTGGTTTGGTTTTTGAAGGTCTCATCTGAAAAACCTACAAGGTAAAGCTGCATTCAGCCCAATTTAGCCACCTCAGAAAAATGAAGATTTGCATCAGCCCTGCCAAGATTAGAATCTGTGGTGCCAGGGAGTCTGGCCTAATCCTAACCTGACATTTAGATGACTAAGCCATCACCTCAAGGCAGAGAACATACCCAGAAAGTTCAAGTTACAAATATATAGTAACACAGTGCTGTTTTTTCATCCAGAATTCAGCTGTTTATACATAAACATCCCACATGTACAGTCTCTGCCTCTTTGCAAGCACCAGGCATTAATTTACAGACCTGTAACTTTTCCAGCTTTGGGGGAAGGGGAAATGTGACCTTCTGAGCTTGAGTAGCTACAATAATCTTTCCAGGTAAGTAGTAGAAGGCACTTGGCATGGCTGAACAAAGCACCTGGAAATTCTCTATCAGGAATGATCCTCATTCCCTAGGAGGACAGAGGTTACCTGCAGTCTTTCCAGCTGTACTGTTGACAGTTCATAAGAAGTATAGGCCAGATAAATTTTGAGCAATGTCTCCTTTTCTACAGAAGTATTCTCAAATGCTGGAAATGTCTCGAACGTACACAGCCCAGTTCTTCCCTGTTGCAACTCGCCAGAAGAACCTGGGCATAAATGTGGCTTTGTTACTCCTAACTACATCTCCTGACTGTAACATGGATTACGTTTTTCATTTCTTCAGCAAACAAAAATTATAAGGCTATTTTTATACAATTTGAAAGCACTTAATACAAAGTTACATTAATACACTGCATCATATGGCCTATCCATGGAGAAAATACTGAAATACTATCATAGGGCTGTTCAATACTAGTTTTTTTCTTTCAACTTTTTATCTTAATACTAGAAAATATATAAATCATTTACATGACTTTATGCAAAAGAAGGCACAGCCGGTTATAGTTTACACAAGCACAATGCATAATATGCAGGAAAAGGGATTAAAAAGAAGCTTCACATCCCTATTAGATACATTGTTGCAAAACATTAAGAAAAGTACTTCAACAACAGAAGTGTTCAACACTTGAGAGCTATGATATAAAAAAATTATAATTCATTTAATGCATAACAGATTTATATATACTTTTATATATAAACACTGTTGAAAAATGCTAACATAATAAAAGTAGATTATCCATGTAATGAAAAGTGCAAACCGAAGTAATAAAGGGTTTCACAATGTCCTTCTCATAACACAGGAAAAACTAGCCCATAGGAATGAAGTGTTAAATCCACCAGTACGTCCTTGGCACGATGAGGCATCATCAGGATTTCTGAGCGTTTGGAGAAAGCAGTACTGGTGAAGAGGCTCTGTCCAGACTGGGGAGTGGCACTGGTATGTGACCATTTAGCAGAGTTGGAAACTGTAAGAGGCCAAAAGGTAAAAATTACTCCTTATCTCAAAGCATTCAGCCCAGAAGCACATGGATTTAGCATTAGCAACTGGCTCCAGATGGTTTCAAGGCTTGTGATGTCTATACAGTAAGATATATATCCCAAATGCCTGCATCAACCATTAGGAATGCAAAATAGAGGACAAAACATGACTAATTTGTAAATATATGGGGATATAGAAATCTATTATTGGCTATATTTTATATAAAAATTCACATAATACATTTATCATTGCTCTGGGAAAGTGAACACTGTAGAGAAATCTTTGCCATCCATTCTGTTTCCAAAAATGTTTTTCAGCCTACAGCCTATTAATTACAATACATCCTTTTTGTCTGCCCTTCTTTAACACTATGCAGGAAAGACCTTTGCAAAAGTGAAAGTCGAGATGTAAATTTAGGGCAGAAAAAGTACAACTGGGAATACAAAGCATGGGGAAAATTACTCTCAAGTAATTACAATTTCTCTCTGTATTCACTAAGAAACTACAGCTTCACATTCAGCATGTGAAGCAGAATAAATTATTTATATTAATAACTTCTGAAATACCATGCAAAAAAATACTTATTCAATACAGAAGCTGTATATTCCTAGTTCTGTAACTTACCTGCAGTGATATTTATTGACTAGTTCTTAACATCTGACCTGAGAAAAAGTAAAGCAAGTAGGTGGAATAAACTTGCTGCAGCATGAGGCGAGAATTATCCCAGTGGCAAATACTGATCTGGCCTCAAGGCCCAGCTCCATGAGCTTGAGAGAGGCAGAGCTGAACAACAGAGCTCTCAGCTTCAAGCATCTGGTGTATTTTTACCTCTTATAAGATCAGTCCTTCAACAGCCAACTCTGCTGTAATCACTCCCTTCACATGCACATAATCTGCTCATAACAAGTTTACTCTTCCACTAAGATGTCAGTTAATGATACCTGTCTTCCACCATTCTGTTGAAAATCAGGCAGAGCAGCACAGGCTCAGCAGCATGTGCTGCAGAGGAGGGGCTGGCACCATGCTCCTGGTGTGGCCAGGACTGCCTGATGCCTCTCTTTTAACCAAACCAAATTTCAGGAAATGTTTCCGTGACTTCTGCCAAGATTCATTAAAACACAGACCTGGATTACAAGCTCTTCCCTGCCTAGCTGCATGGAGTGTGGGCTGGCTTTGCAAGGAGTCTGAGGAGAGCTCTGCCTTGACACCCACACTGCTGACCCACCAGTTCTCAGTGGGGTTGGCTGGCCTTCAGGCTGTGGTTTTCATTTCCAATTTGCTGTTAAATAAATCTTTGTGCTCTACAGCTTGTCATTGTGGCCTTTGACTGAATCAAACATCATTTGTAAGGCCCTTGGGGTCTCTCAGAAGGGAAAGCCAAGGCCACTCCTCACTTTCAGTTCCCACAGGAGATGGCCAGTGTGTATCCATAGCTGTCCAAGCTCATTCCAGGCCTTGGCGCAGGCACTTCTCTCAGATGAATTGTGTCTGGTTGATTTAACCACGTGTGCAAAACTAAGGTCCAATACAAATTACTGAGCTTATCTGAAACACAAATAAGGAGCCCTGAGCTCCATGTGCAGCTGTCCCACTGGAGGCAGAAAGGCTTGCTCCCCCAGTGCAGACTGTACCTGAGCAGAGCACTTGAGCTGAAGCCCAGCCCTGGATTCAGGCAGTCAGTTTCCCTGAAGGTTCAGAGACGTAACACAGGGTCCCTGTCTAGCAGTATCTTCCTCCTCTGTAAGTGCTGGCCCTCCACAGCAGTCGAGGTGTTGATTCCAGGGGTGACCCTGCATTCTTCAGCTGCACAGATGGCCACTGGGTTCCTGTGCTTCTTGCCAATCAGCAGAACAGCATAATTTTTTCTGATTTAATGAATGGGCTGTTTTGCAGCAGCTACAGTTGGAACTGCTAATATCATCCCCACCATCTTCTTCCTAAGCCTCAAGCAGATGCTGCAGCTGAGTGCTGTGGCCATCATGGTTTACTCAATAACTTTTGAGATGTTTACTCTGCCAATACCCATGAGAGAGTGGACACAAAGCTGCCTTTCTGCTGTTACAGAGAGGTCATGCTCAGCAGTATGTCCTTGGTTGAGGACACATGGATAATTTGCAGGGGAACTGGAAATGGAGCCTTCAGGTTCAGAGTGCCCTTACTGTAAATACAAATATGTCTTTCTAGAGTGAGAAGTAGCTAATTAAGACAAGAGGATAAACCTACACCCACCTTACTGTGTGAGACCCAAACTGCTCTTGGTTTTCCCAGAGCTGTGTTCCACCCCTCTCCTGGCTGGTCCTGGACTGGTTTTCACTCTCTTCCAGAAGCTCTGAGAGCTCAGTTACCTTCTCTTACTGGGGTCCAGCATTTATTTCTGTTTCCCTCACACAGCATGTGTGTGCTTGCTGCAGTGGACACTGCCCTGTAGGTTCTGACTGTGCCGCCGACAATTTAAAGAAGGTACAGGTAAGTAGGCAGGCCTCTCTATAAGAAAGTGCCTGTTAACTCCTGTATTTTCTTAATCTGTTTGAAGAGCTCCAGACTGGTGTAAGGAGATGTCTCTTCCACATGTGCACCTTTAGCAGTGAAACCTGTGCATTGGAAAGACCTACCTGGAAGAGAGTGTTTGGTCCCTGCAGCCTGGCAGGACTCAGAGGAGCAACAGGACTGAGGCTGCTCCAGAAATGAATGCTAGACAGCAGCGGGCTGGGGGTCAGCAATAATCCATTGGGGGTCTGCAAGACAAAAAAAGACCCCATGACACATGGCTCAGGAGTTACAGCTCCATCCAGCAGTCACCACCCCTACAATCTTACACATCACCTACTGGCTCTATTTCCCAGTTAATTCACACATACAGCATGGTCAGCAGCAGCTGCCCATCCAGCCCTGCGTCCTGTCTCATCAATACTGGATACCCACACGTGTAATAATCCTTCATATGCAAATTGATTTAATTTCTGTTTGCTTAAGGAGAAGCACACTCATGCAGCTGTGTAGAATAATACCATGTATGCCCCAATGCCTGCCAACTCTGCCTAGGCTTTTTCAGAATCAGTCTTTACCTTCTGAAGGGCAGCAATTGCTTGACCTGACTGCAGCTTTTCAAGTATTAATGCAATCATGTGTGGAGCCAAAAGAGTCACTGCCAGCCTTTGAAGTTTACTCCCCTGATGGCGCCTTGTCATAATGGAAGAGGCTTCAAGAAACCGGCAGTGCCCAAGCTGACACGGGGAGGGGCAAGGGTATGGGCTGGGTGCCCAGAGGGACGGCAGAGAGCACAGCTGATTGTCTGAAAAGACTCAAAACGGCAAGAACTAAGAATGCAAAGCTTTTCCCAACTCAGAGGTGTCTCATTCCAGTGCCATGGTGTCTAAGAATTGCTAGGAATGCATTCAGCATTTCTAAGCACAATTGGAGGGGAGGTAGAGTTAAAGCACGTGCAAATCTTGATTCAAATGAAGAATCACTCAAATTATTCTGTACACAGAGTAACTTCTATCATTCCAAAATAGAACATGGAAGTGATGTGACAGTTTTGAAAAAGTATTTGGCGTAATGAGTTAATCTCACCAGTAATCTTGATGCCAATTATCAAAATCAGTCCTATTTACCAAAGCACTTAATGGATTTGAGTACACACTTAGCAAATAAGCATGTGCTTTGCTGTGTAGGACAAGTGCCTCAGTGCTCTGCTGAACTGGGACACCCATTTTTCCAGACTTTAAAATATGTACAGAGAAGATAGAAGACAGAAGATAGAGAGTATTTCCCATAGTAACCAGCACACCATGCATTCTGGTACCTGCTAGCTTCCCACCAGGACAGAAATATAAACTCCTACATGTGGCAATTGCAACTGGGGTCAGACTTAACAGCTGCTCACACCACGGACCATCACACCCCGTTACCAGGACTCTGCAGTGAGCAGGCTCACACAGGCAGCACCACAGGTCATGTGGATTTTCAAATATGACAGACATTATTTGCATAGCAGCACCTGAGGGATCAGCTGTGGTGTTTGAGGCTCTGTGCAAACACACAGGAATACAGACCTGCTGTGACGTGTTTGCACTGGAATTCACAACAGGGTCAAACAATTAGTTTAACACTAGCAGAAGGGATAGACAAGGAACAGCAAACATTAAAGCCCTCCCAGTGATTCAGGTGTCTGAAAGGCAGTTTAATACAAAGGGATGGTTTCTCTAAGGAGTCTCAGAAGAAGCAGGGTTTGTGGAGAAATGTGTGCAGGGAAAGGACACTGCCACCTTCCTTGTGCTGAAGAAGGTGGATCAGAAACACCAAATCCCATGGAAGAAACCACAGTTATGTCCCAAGGAGTAATAAACCTGTGGTATCACTGGGAAAGCAAAAGGTATTGATGCAGTAAATCAGCAGGTGTAGTGGTCACCAGTGAAGTCAGGGTTGGGATATATTTGCATGACAACAAAAGGGGCAAAGAGTGGGTGGAGGCCTGGAAAGGAGAAGACTTCCATCTTGATCTCACCAAGTCACAGCTCTTGTCAAGATAGCTGAAAAAACAACCTTGACAAGCAGGCACCTGTGAACAGCCCCCTTACAGTCGTTCTCTTCCCACGACCACGGCGCTTTCATGGGGCAGGAAATCAGCAGCACCAGCAAGAGCCCCTTTCCTGTGCTGTATTACAGGCTGGTGCTCCATTGGCAGGCAGCTATTGATGGAGATTTACGGGACTGACAACACACTGAATTAGGTCAGGATAAATACTCAGATCTACTTACAGAAGAGCCTACTAACCTTAAAACCAGAGATGTAAGCAGCAAAACCCATCAACATTCAACTAAGGACACAGTACTAAGAGCTCCAGTGAGCAGCCTTGGTTCTTTACTTTTGCTCTAAGAAACTGCAGATAACCAGAACTGAAAATGCTGTTCTTGAGAGGGTCTTTTGAAAATAACGAGGAAAAGTTGGAGGTGTTTATTCCTACCTAGATACAGCCAGAGAAGGTCTTCAGAGAGAGAGAGATTTGAAACTTAGTTGCCCTGGGTTCATCTCTGGAAGCATGCTAACATGCCTACCAGCAGTGCTAGCAAAAGCTCATGTCCTCTGATGAGGAGAGCACTAGTGTCTGCAAGTTCTGCCAGAGCCAAGAGCCAGCCAAAGCAAGCCTCCAAATCCATTTAATATGTAATGCAAAAAGAGCACAGAGCCTCCCAGGCTTGTTCTCAGTATCACCATCAGCCAATCATCAAAACCACCAGAGGAAACATAAGTGTAAACAACACCACAGGATAGGCTATCCCTAAATTACATGTGGAAATTGATGTGTCACTTCATTTTCTGCCCTCATGCAGCTGTACATCTGGTAGTAGATGTGGAACCCATTGGGAAGTTCCTACTTAAAAACATCATTATAACCTAAGTATAGGAACAGTTTAAATAGAAATAATTCATTGCACAGAGAGGATTATGTTAAGTGACAATGCTCATGGCTCCTGACTTCTGACAAACAATGTGCGTAAGTACAGTCTTGTCACTTTTAGCTGTTAGATCACAGACAAGTGCTGTCACACATACATTACTTCCCAGATCATTAGGCATGTGCTGGAGCCTGGGTGCTGTCTGTGGATACAAAACGGAGCTGGCCGCAGGCACGCTACTTTGTCCCTAAGGAAATGGCATGTTGTAAATGTAACAAATGCTAAAGCACAGGCCTGAAGAAAGAGTGTGAGTCAAAATTATATATCCACATTGGCCAAGGGAGAGACAACAAAAGTAATAAGTATAAATAATCTGCAAAAGAAGCAAGTGCTGAACAAAACCTAAGTATCTCTCTTTGAAGCTAACCAAATGGAAAGCTAACATTTCTCTACCAAAGTAAGGTACTGTATGCTCTGACACCCTCAAACCTATTTTTCTGTTCTGAAATTGATTGTGCTCACAGGGCTCCACCCTAGAGTATTCCTCAGGACTAGCAGGTGCAGTAGAAAGCCATCTGAAATACCTTCTCAGGCCACAGGACCTTCTCTGAACCTACATTACTACTGGAGCAGACATCCTGTTCTACACTTGCCCCATGGCAGCAAGTGTATCCTACTAGGATCTGATAAACCAGGGAATGTTTGAGATATGATGCATGTTCTTCCTTGGATAATGGGATGAACAGCAGATCCAGTCTAAATTATCCTTTAGTTATCTTGCATCATGGTGTTACAGTCATCATGGCCTAAGCAGCCATCCCGCTGAAGGAGCACCACAATCCTCTACCTAATTCCCTTCTACATCTTTCAGGGCAGTAAGTACACTAGTTCATAGATTAGTGGGGAAATTGAATGTTTAAAAATATAATTACAAAATGAGGAAATAATTCTCTGTTCATACTGTGTTTGGGGGCAGCAGTAGACTAAAGTGGGTTTGTAATAATTCATGCTGTCATTGTGTCTGGTTGGCATCTGATATGATTTGTCAGATTTTCTCCTTACAGGCAGAAACTGTGGTTATACCACAGTTAGAGGTTATATGAGTTTGTCAATCACCTCAATTTTGGTTTGCCACACTTCTGTTCTTCCTGCCAAACGTAACTTCACTTAAAGGCTTTATGATGTCAAAAATTACAGGTGACAGCCTTTCTTGGTGACACAACTTTGTGTCTTGGTGGTTTACAGGTGAGCCTGAACTGCACAAACTTGCTCTGCAGCCAGCTGAAAATAAGAGCAAGTGCTGTGCTGGCTGAGAGTACTTGCTGACACTCTCGCTTCTGCCAGGCCTTCATGCCACGGGCACACGACGCTGCCTGCACCAAACACCTCCAACACCCCCGAGAGGTGTTGAGTAATGAGGTAGTGGGATTCTGCATACAATATGTCTCCTAGACAGCCTGAAGTGAGTGATGGCTTGTAACACACCTTTGTATTTATTTATTTGCCGTTTGGTTTGTTACATTCAGTGCTAGTATTTGCATCGTTATTTCAGGGCTGGGGATCTTAAGGGGTGTTCCTCAATTGGGATAATTTTACTCTTGGTATTTTTGTCTAATTTTGCAGTGGTACTGTAAGACAAAACTCACCAATGAATGCACTGAGTCATATCTATGTGATTTTCCTCTTCTACTCTGAACTCCTAGATTTTTTTTTCATAGACTGGCATGAAAATGAGAACTCGCTCTTGACATTACCACAAATAAGTGATTAAAAAGAACAAACTAATCTTCTGGTTATTTAGTAGGTCTGTGCTGAAAAGCAGCTCTGGCAAGTACTCTGTTGATCTGCACAACTTTGTAAATCGAAACTGGTTTCAGAGCCTGTCTTAGAAACCACTTCATTTGCTCCGTATTCAAAAATTAACGAAAAGGTCACACTGTTTGAATGGATACAACATCTAGTAGAGGAATCTAACCAAGCATCCCATAATGCACGTGCTCAAGTTGTGATCTACAAAACCCCTGTGGTTTTCTTTGTGGCTTTTTCCTGTTTGTTTTGTAGACCTGGAGGCTGGTCTGAACTGATAAACAATTCACTAACAGCTCCCTATCTCCTTAGCCCTTCAGGCAGTCTGTCAACTGTGACGGCTTTTCCCACACTCATGTAGGAACAAACCCCGGGAGGAACCTACTTTCCACCCCTTGTTCAGACCACTGCTGTGTTTCACTCTTTCCCATATGATTTTTTTTCCCATCAGATGATGACAGGCCAGTAGAGCTAACACTCTTGGCTACTTGGAGTGAATGCCTGGAGACAAGCAGGTATTACCTGTGCAGTGAAGAAAGCTGGAGTCAGGGATCCCGAAGGAAGCGCAGGGCTGTTGAGGGCGATGGAACCGATGTCGGTGCTGGAGAGAACCATAGGTGGGGCAGAAATTTCCAAGCCTTTGGGTTTTTTAGCCTTTGGGGGAAGAGATGAAGATTTTGCCTTGGAGCCTGAGGAGAGGTTCAGAGGCTCAAGGGAATCTGAGTCGTGGCAACTGGACTCAAGGAAGAAGCTCCTGTGTTCTGCAGGGAGGGGTGAGGTGGGAGACAGAGAAGGCGATCTGGAGGAAGATGATGATGGAGATGAAATGCTGGCACTGTTGGGTAGCATTAAGGAAGATATTTTAGCTGATACTGAAGAGCTGAGGAAAGCAGAGGCAGCTGCTGTTTCAGAAGTAGAAGGCAATGACACCACAGGCCTCGTAACTTGTTTGTCTGTTTTGTTTGTCACAAATCTGATAACAGTCCGAACTTCTTCGACTGGTATGTTTCCTTCTGACTTCTCCTCCAGTTTTTCTGTTTTGATTGGCTTGTAAGGGTCTGGCTGGTTCTGCAGAGAGTTGATAGTGAAAGAGGAGTACAGGCCAGAGTGGATATATTCATTACGGCTTGTGCTTTTCAGTGCTGACAAGCTGTGCTTGTGCTGATCCCTGCTCTCAGAAGGCATATTACAGTCGCTGTCCTGCAGCAAAAGGCTCTCTCTGCTGATTTCCACAGCATGTGGATCCATTTTTAAAATCTCAGGAAAGGAGACAAACTTGTATACAAATTTTTGTCCGATCACTTTCTTGATGATGTTCTGCAAATACAAAAGAAGATGCTAGAAATATCAGCATTTCAGAGGCACTCAGTATAGCAAACACAAGGGTAGGGGGGCACTGCTTCCTCATCAAGTTAAGCAGGTCATTCCTTGGGGCTCTTAATGCTGATCACCTTTGGCTCATTCCAATACCTCTGCTCTGCCAGGGAGTCCACCCCCTGCTCCTCATGTGTCCAACAAATTTCCATCACTAGGTGATAAAAACCTGCTGGTGGTCTGTTTTACTTCTGCTTCCTCTGAAGCAGCTTGGGAATATTTTCTTTCCAGTAAAAGCAGTTCTGCTGCCTTGCAGACTTGAGCTATGCCACCGTTTGCATTCCATAGCAAAGGCAAACTCCTTCACTTATGCCTCCCTAAACCGACACCAACCACCCTGAGTAAGAAGTACTCTCGGAATGTCCTGAAGGGACAAAACCACCTTAAGCCTTCTGGCTCCAGTCATTTACCCTCTCTTCCTTACACCATGCAGAAGGATTGAACTAAACTGATGGTGACTGACCTTCTTTCAATGGTCTGTGAAAAATGCAAGCGCTTGCATGGGCTGGAAAGGTATTTGCATCCTGCTGTATCCCCGGCACTATCTCCAGGCTTGCATTAGGCTCGTGATGCTCACTGGTGCAGGCAGAAGGTTTTCATCAGTCTAAACTGACTGTTGAAATTAATGATTGAAAAAATCCCAAACCTCTCAAAGGTTTGTACAACTATTTCTTTTTCTGTAAGTGTCCCCTTTATGTAAATAACTGATTCCCTTTGAGATCTTATTTCCAGTCCTAGCTCTCCTCCTGCAAAGCCAGGTATGCTGCCTGCTCTAACACAATGCTTGCTATCCCCAAGGATATGTGAGCTCCTCCGCAGAGGCACTTTATGGCACCAGGCTGGGCCTAGGAAAGGGACTGGAACACTTCATTTACCACCCTAAGCCAAGTGCTGCAGAACACAAGAAGCAATATGTCCTGAGATTTCCATGCTAATTTCTCTCTTCTCGAAGCCCCTGGTGGAGAGTTTGAGTCACCTCTGAAAAACCCTTTCAAAAAAATAAAAAAGAGGAAAAAAAAAAAGGAATACAAACATCATCCCTTTTTATATAAGGACAGTACATAGTGCTGGGTGCTCGTAGTGCCTGCACTACACCTTGTTTTGTCACAAAAGCAAGGCTGATTTTGTGAAAGAAGAATCTGCACTTGGGTATCAGAACCTCTTCTGTCTTTCAGCTGAGCTACTGCACTCTGTAATTCATCTGTCCTGACTGTCCTGGCATTTCATTCAGGGCACCTTCTTGAATACAAAATTAATCCTACAAAGAGCCCTGAGATGTGGCTTTGCATCACAGGTCAGGAGCTGTGGCACAAATGGAAAAAGTTGTTTCCCAGGTTAATAACAGGGATCTGTAGCAAGGAGGAGAATTAAATTCAGCAAACTCAGACTAAAGGCACAAAGCTGCCCTCTTCCATGCTGAATTGTACACATATCTACCCATCTGACAGATGCTGCAATGCCTTTTTTTCCCCTTCAAAGGTTCAGGACAAATAGTTAGCCCACAGGATCTCAGTCTGCATGAGCTTCACTTCCCATGGCTTTGGGCTTGGCCTAGTTTTTTTTTTCCTGCTAATTAGGTGAAACATTGGATGGGTGCACATTCTGTGCACTCCCAGTATTGCATTCTTTTTCAAAAAGGCAAAACCTTCAAACTGCTCACATATGAAAGGAAACACCCCAACTGGATTTTTGTTTTCTTTTTCTAATATATATATTTTAATTCAAAATAATACCTCCCCTCTGCTCCTGGCAGCTTTGAGTTACTTTTACATCAAGCACTGGCAACTGAGATCCTCCTTGGAAAATGTGACTCCCAGCAGAAAAAGAATAAATGTATTTAAGGATGGCACTTTTTCACTGATGCAGACTTGAAATGGGGGAACATTGCTATAAAAAGCAACTGAACAGGCTGGTGAGTTTATACTTCCTTTGTTATTATTAAATGTAGTTATATTTTAAGAAGGTTGCAGTGTCTCTCCTCTGACTCCACCAGCCTGCAGCAAAGACCCACTTAACGATGGCTGGAGATGAAAAGGATTCAAGTGCAGATCCCTCAAGCACTTTGCAGGCTTCTCTTAAATGTGTAGCCTGAGGAAATCTCCATCAGTGTGCAAGAGAAAAAAGGACACAAATTAATGAAGTGTCTCTGAAATGCCACTGACTTTCTTATATTTTTTTGACAAATAATTGAAGTGAAGGTAAAAAGCAGCTTATTTCTACCATCACCTCAGTGATCTGTCAGAATCATTCTGAACTGTGATGGTTCAAACCTCAAAAGACAGTGACAGGCACCATGACAAGAAGGGGTTTTCCTCCCTCAGTTTGAAAGGGCAAAGAATGCTTCCTTATATGAAGGACTGCATTTGCAGGAAGACTAGACGCTTAGTAGCAGGAGAGTCAGTATATGTGCACATTTAGCCCCTTTTTTTGTTGTTGTTTGAATTTTCTAGGTAAACTCCCTCATGAGCAGGCTTGCAATGAGTGCTAGTGGCTGCCAGCCAGGGCTGCTGGGAGCTGGGGAAGGCTGGGGCCGTGCAGCTGGGGAGGAGAAATGGGCAACCACGCCAGGAGCAGGGACTCCAGTCCAACAGCTTAAAAAAAAATCTTACCAAGAGACAGCGCTCTTGGACAATCAGAGAGAGGGCAGGGAGCAGGGAATACCCCTCTTCTGTTGACTTCTTGACTGTTCTTTACACTTCCTCTCCTCTGTCTCCAGTCTGCAAAACAGTGACTACAGGAAACATGACCATGCCACCCCATTGAAAAGTGTTTTGAAAGCTGGGTAGAGCCCTGACCAATGTTTGCTCCAGCGCATTCAGCCGTGTTAGGGAGCTCAGGCTTATTCACACACCAGCATTTCAGGCACTTGCTTCATGAGCCCCTCCAAAGACAGCCTCACCCAAGAGCTCTGAATCACCACCTGGACAAATAGGTCTCTCCCTGTCCTCCACAGAACAGCTGGCTGAGCTGGATGCCAAAGGCTCAGTGGCCTGGTTCACCCTGCAGCTTAAACCAGACTATACTGTGGGGGTATTTGTGTCAGCTATACATATGCACTACTACTTTTGGAAGCCCTCCTGAAATCTATCATGTGTTTGTGTTTTATTTTCATCAGCTCTGACTCCTATTCCCTGTTTGAGCCACCTAGAGCAAAGGCGTAACTATACTACCAGTGTGACTGAAGGATGTTAGTGGCTTGGCTCAAAGCTCTTAGCTAGCAAGTTTGCTGGCAGGAGCCACTCAGGAAACTGAGCTGAGAAATGGGATCCACCTTCTAGTTGAAGTTCAGACTAATGAGGGGTCTCAGGAGCAGGAAGACCAGATTGGGACTTTTCTCTCCTCCTAGGAGGTGACGTATAATCAGGGTGCCTGAGATCTCAAAATCTGTGGCAGAGCAGGATGAACTTGTCTGTAAGTACTAAACATCCCTGCTCAGGAAAGAAGACAGACCACAGCTGTAGCTGCTGCTCATAACTCCCACTTGGATGTGTTGCAAGTTCCCTAGCTCCAAGGGTACCGAGGGACGCAACACGTGTAGGGACACTTAGGCTACAAACTCCTCACAGGACTCTGTCCAGGCTGCTTCCAGCTATTGGGATCCCTACCCAGAGAGAGGGCTGCTCAAACTCCAGCGTCCAAAGTGCGTAAGCTGGCAGGAGGTACCTGTAGCTGCATGGTTTGTTCTGAAAGATGGGGGTGTGCCCATATCAGCATGTGCAGGCAGGCAGATTCTGCTAACATCATAGATTATGCAGTTATGCTTATTATACCATGTGTGTAGAAGCTGGATTTGTGAAATTTTTGATGGAGGCACAGGTGCTACTACACTGGGCACCTATACTGACCTTTGGAAGATCAAGGCTCTCATTTAGCTGTATTTTGGTCTTTCCTCACCCACCTCCATCTAGAAGACAAAGGCCATTTCTCTGGCTGGCACCTTTGGCCAGGGTCTCTGCTCTCTCTACTGCAGTTCACTGGACGTCCCTTTCCTCTCACATCAAACATGAACAATTTTATGACTCTTTTCAAGGCAAGTGTTCTTGGTTTTTCTCCTCTACCCATCACCTCTTACTGAGTATCAAATTCTTCACTCTTTACTCCCATCTCTCCATACAGCACAATATAACCACCTTTATGCCATTTCAGTCAAGCACTTTCTTGACTTCCACAGATCACTCTCAAAAGAAGCTCCTTCCAGTTTTCCACAAAGGTATTTTCTAATGCTCCTTCAAGTATTTCCTCGTAACACCTCTAACTTGTGCCACTACAAAAGGAATAGCCAGCACTCTAGCACCATCACACTGCTATTGTTTCTTTGCAGGATTCTATTTCCCCTGCATTATCTTAAAAGAAAACCTTGCCAAAAGCAAAATAATAGTTTCCATTATCACTGTATATCCTGAAGTTCTGTAAGCAGACAAGAACAGGACCCTCTTCCCAAAACAAGTCTTCCATGCTGCCACACACACTTGAGCATTAAAAATAGGAACTAGTAACCAGGATGCTGGGTTTGACCTGTTATAGGAGGGGAGCGAATGTGCTGGACACCCCTGAATCTTGAGGGCACCCGAGCAGCTCTGTTCCCTGCACCATCATGAAGCAGCCATATTATTTATATACAATACATCATACTGCCAATCCATCTAAACAAGTGGGCAGCCATTAACTGAAACTAAAACAGACTGAATAACACTCACTGAGTAAAGCCTGGGGCCACATACTGTTCAGAGAGGATGCAAAATTATTGAATAGCTGCTCATCACAACAGTATGTGGCTGTGTAATTAAAGATGCAGCATAACTCATGCAAACATTAAGGTTACCCAGGGAACTGTGATTCTTGTATTTCCTAACTTCTGAGGGCTTGACTTCCATAACTGCTACATCCTATTAAAGTTGGTATCTGCATGTAATTTCCTGGATTTGCCCTCCTTCCCTCAATAAAAAACCCTCATGGGAAAAACTCACTAGGTTCCCTCTTGTGTTCTCATCTTGAAATATTCATGGGGACTTTTAGTAGCCCTGAAGCCCTCAGAGACTTCCAAAAGATATCTGCCATTATAGCTATCAGAAAAACAAAGTAACTGGGCAACTTGAACAAAAAGAAATTTACTAACCCTATTTATAAAAGTATTTTACTCTACATATCAAACTAAAGTGCTCTGTGTGGGAATGGCATCGAAAGGTTTTGTTCCCTAAAAGCATCAAAAGGGATTTCTAAGCAGCAGAAGTGTGTGACGTGATGGACACAAGCTGTAGGTAGAGAGAGTGCAGGAGGCCAGCACTATCTGTCATCTGTTCTGCTGTTCTGTTGAAGCAACAGGGGAAATGCATTAAATAGAAATAAGGGGGGGGGGGGGGCAGAATTTGGGTAACAAATGAAACAGGAAATGGAATCTTCAGATTATCTACAAACCTTTAGCAACCATAATCATGGAAGCAAATTACAATCAAGACATGCCATACTCTGCATTTCCTGGGGTGCTTTTTATGTGAATTTAGCATAAATCTAGCCATCAGCCTCAACAGCATGTCATGCTTGTTTTCAAAGCCAGGCTAAGGAACTTGTCCCAGTTGTGTTATTTTTCTCCAGTACTGGAATTAATTTACTTTTAAGTTCAGATGAATCAGATGATGAATTTTAACAAGCCAGTGTTCCCCCCAAGCAAAATGCAGAGCTCATAAACCCCCATTTATCCAGTAATCAGTTTTTATTTCTCCATGGTGAATAATTCCAAAGACAGACCATGAAGCATTAGCTCAGTGTCAGCTGTATGCAGTAGGAGGAGAGGGCAGTCAAGAAGGAAAGGTCCAGCCCATGTGCCTTGGATGGACAGCTTGTGTCCATCATTTCTAAAAAATCACTGCTCTTTGTCTCAAACTCACATGCTGCCAGATCACTTGGGTTATAGGTAAAGAAGTCCCTGTCGATAATTCCACAAGGCAAACCGAGTCTTGTCCAGAGTTCTGCCTCTTGTCTTTCCTGCTGCCACTCCCTTGTCTGCAACACATTTATCCCATTTGCTCAGTGTGCAAACCATTTGCCCCAGCACATCCAGCTGCCAACATATCCATCACTGCCAACAGGTAAGAAGGAAACAAGGGTCTCAGAAGGCTCCTTAAAGCTACCTCAGAGTCTAGACTGCTCTTGGTTCATCCCACAAATTGGTGAATGGTCTTGGGGAGAAGAGCACAGACGTCTGAGAGGCTCTTTCATCTCACCAGCCCTTCCGCTTTTGTTGCAGAGGGGAAAAAAGAATGTCAAGGAGCCTTTCCTTCCCTTCACAACTTCTTCCCTTCTGTGCTATGCAGTGTAGACTGAACTGAAGGCAGAGGAAGTGTTTAGGACTGAACCCACTGCTGAGCACTCACTCACTGCCAGTCTACTAGAATTCATTACTATCTTATGCCAGTATCTCTCACACTTCAAAACCCACAGAAGTTGCCCTGTCCCTTGGCACTCTCCCAGTAATCCACCTTTTTCTACTGTCTGGGAACCTACAGGACACAACACACTATATCCAGAGAGTGAGAAGCACCCATTGGTTTCAACTAAAGGAGTTACTCCTTCAGTTTGAATAGCAATAGCCATAGGTTTGGTTTGGGGTTCAAACCCTGATCACAACACATCTAGGAGCTATGACCTCCATTTGGCTGCAGAACTCCTGGAAAAATGGCCAAAATCCTTGTGCCACACTTAGATAAAACTGTCAGACAGAAGAGAGTGCACAATCCAAGAAAGCAGCTGTAGGAACAGCAAGCAATTGCCTCAGCCACAGCCCTGATGAAGAAACTGTACAGCCACTCTGGCAGATGCTGCATGAGCAGAGACAAAACAGAGGACAAAGGTATATGTGTGCTGGGAGGGGGGAACTGAAAACAGAAGAGGGGTTAAGAAAAAAGTTAAAGCTTAAAAGAAGCAAGGGAATCTCAAGTAAGGAGCCATTGTATTCCATTAATTCGAAGAGATCAGAGAGATCTCAAAGGACAAGTGCTACAAATATCTGGTCCTTTGTTTTAAAGCGATGTCTGTTCAGTCAGTAACTGCGTATTTGGGCTCTGCCTGGCTATGCTGTTCATGCACCAGCAGGCACTCCGTCTCCATTGATCCCAGTCAAGTTTATAATCAGAGGGGTTGGAGCAATATAATGAAGTGAGCTTCCCCATGCTGAGCAGAAGCCTTTTTAGCACTTAGTGAAGGAGAATTCATCATACCAACTGCTCAGAACAGCCACTGCACTGTCCTCGCTGAATCCTTTTGTGCCTCCTCAGTCAGGCCACCTTTCAAACACGTTAAGTGGGAAAATCTGACTTCTAGTGGACAAAACACTAACAGCTCTAAATCTGAAACTAAAAAAGGAGTCCTTGTGAGTAATGAAAAGTCTGATCATCAAATTGTTCATAGTTAATTTGCAGTCAACATGATTTGGTTGCTGTGTTTGACTGCATAACACCCAACTGTGCCCTTCAAGAATTAGTGCACTACAAATAATGCATGACAACAGTACTCTGAGCTCAGTCCAGAAACAATATCTAGTTTCCTCTGCCTTATGCAGGCAGCAAGCATGCCATAACTGTGCTGAACACTGGTGTTACTCACTGCGTAATCTCATAGCACCGCCTTTTCTGAAAATCAAGATGAGAACAGACCACTAAGCATGGCTATAAAGTTTTCCTTTTTAGTATACAAAATCTGTAAAAGTCTTTCTTTTTAATATTTAATCTACAAGAATATAGGAAATAGTAAAACCTAGTAATTTAGAATTTAGATATATTTTAAAAAATATCCATTTAAGGGGAACTAATCCTGAAAAAAATTAATATTGGCAAGTAAAAGCAATATAATGTTCATCCAAAAAAGGCAAGAGAAACAGTTTGGAAACTCCTTGAATTTACTGGAGTCTAAAATTGAGAAAGGTGAATATGCAAGATTTGCGTTTTACAAGATTTGTGTACCTGTGTTCTATAATTTTTTCCTTCTAGTATCTTGACATATCTGAGAGATTTCCTTTCAATATCTGTTACAGCAATCTAATACATATCCTGGCTACTCCCTGTTCTCATTTTTGCATTCTCTGTTGTACTGTCGTCACCTTGCTTCATGCTCAAGAATAAGACCAAGGACTAAATGTCAAAGTGAAGGAGAGTGACAGTGATCTTATGAACCCCACTATACTGCAGAAATTTTATTTTCAGAGGTGCTAGTTACCAGCAACCTCTATTGACCTCTTCTAAATTGTGGGCATGCTCATGATGTCTGATATTCAGAAGCAAATAGAACAATCTAACTAATTCCAGATTACTTTGTTCATATGTTATTATTTCAGATTACAGTTTTAAATAAAGAAGTTGAAAATGGAGCTGCCAATAGCTAACAGCTCTGCACTAAGTGCATGCCTATCTACCTACCTGTAACCAGTTTCCAAGAGTGCACAAAAAAACCACAGCTTGCCAGTTAGTTAAGGTCTTACTAGTTCTATCAAACCCCAACAGATGTATCTGTGGAGGAGGGCCAAAATCCATTAGATCTAGCAAGGGAGAAAAACTGGATGAAGAAACCCATATCAAAGCACGTTTCACTATTTTAACTTGAGATACCCGGAAGATAAGTTCTGAAGTGAGAGTAAATTTAACATTCTACAGCAATTAGAGTCTTCAGCTGAGATGAGCTCAGCGTGAGACTACTACCTTGAGAAACAAACCCAAACATATCACTGCTCTGACACCCACCATCTCACCAGCCACCTTTCCCTGCTTGCTACTCTAATTCTGCACCTTCATCCAGTAAGACATCACATTAGTGCTCTTTCATATATATTGCTGCTAATTAAATGACAGAAACATGTAATTTAGACTAGTGTTGAAGCTAAGTCAGATTTTGTCCCAAAGTGATATAGTAGAAAATTTGCAAACTCCTAAAAACACCAAGCATTACCAGAGGAATAGTTACAATGAGATCCTGCTGAGGAAATACTGCACTGTCACAACTGTAGAAGTGTTTCAGCATTGTATTTCCAGCTAATACAATTGCAGTGAAGATATACCAAAAAAGCTCAGGCAAGACCAGCTAAAGCACTGGTCAGCAGGTTCTATGGTCCAAAAAATGTGTCCCATGAAAACGCAACCCCACCCTCTATGCTGTTGGGTTGTTTGTTTTTTTCCTTGTTTCTGACTCAGGCAATACTTGCTAGTAAAGCTGCCATTTTGCCTGCTGCATTGCAGAATTCCTGCTTTCTAACATTCCAGAAGATCTTCTGCAGGCTCTAATAATCAAGCAGTTCTCCGTTATCAACAGTTACTTTATTGTTGTCAAAAGCTACAGAAAATATTGGGCAGCCAAATGCATAAACACATAAAAGCATCAGTAAGTGTAAACCCAGGTCAAAACTCCCCTCCTCAGGAAACAGGATGTACAGTGTTTTCCTGTGCATCTTTTAACCTCTTATCTCCACTGTGATCACATTCAATACTGTTGTCTGTTGTAAAGACTAGTTAGAGGAACTTCTGAATAGCTTCCACTGAGAGGAGAAATATTAACTGGTAGTGTTTCAATTTTCTTAGTTTGCATGAGAATAACAAAATTTACCTTGTCATAATAGTATCTGAGCGCTCGGCTCAGCTTGTCATAATTCATATTAGTTTTGTTTTTTCTGAGTCCCCACAGCTTAGCCACTTCTTCTGCCTTGAGTAGCTTGAATTCGCCATCATTAGACGTCCAGCAAATCAGGTGCTCATGTTTCTGGTCTAGCAGCAACTGCAAAAGGAACTGCCACAGTGTGATTGCACTCTCCATACCTACAAAGGACAAAGGAGAGCAACAGTGTGAAAAACATCTGGGAGCAAGTGTTCCACCCAACACTCGTTTCAGTAATAAGCTCTGTGTAGGAGTCATCCTAGGTAATTGAGAAAAGGGAAGCTACTATATAATTTACAACCAAACATCCACAAAACCTACAGGTCTTCCACTCCTCTTTCAGTATTTTTTCCCACTGCTATTTTCTGAAGCAACACATAAAATAGAGGAAGTATTTAGAAAAGCACTGCCCACATAGTTCATGTGGTACAAGGTCATCTCCAGTTGGTGTCTTCCATTCAATGTATGCAATCACACTTCAAAGGAACATACGGGAGAAGGAGAAAGACTTGATGTAACTATCCACTGAAATGGGACTGAAAACCTGCTCTTTACTGTCATGGGGAGTATACTGAACTTGTTCAGGTACGTCACTGTGAAAAAGGGGCGGACGAGGGAAGACCAGAGCAGTTGCCTTTGATTAGAGGACCAGAAACCACACTCATTCCCCCCTCCCACCACACACACTTGTCTTCCCAGTATCATATAGCCTTTGCCTATTTTGTTTTTTCCAGGGCCTGAAACTACTCTTGCTGCTTCTGTTTGCCAATTCAAATAGCTCAAAAGATATTCTTTATTTGTCAGGAATGCTGAAAGTTCAGTACCCTTAAGCGCAGTAAAATAAGTGATATTTACCCTGAACCTCTCTCTAACAGGGATCTTTTTTTATCATAGGTACCGCTGAGAACGATATTGGAGGAATATTTTTAACAGTGCCTGAGTCTCACGTCTAAGGTTGTTTGAATATTTTTTTTCTCTGCTAACTGCCTGTGCTACTGAGCCCTTCCTAGAATAAACCTTTTGTTCAGGCGCTGCAATAGAAGGATAAACTGAAGACTAGCTATATTCAAACTCAGCACGGGCATATACACAACTTAAAATCTGGGATCGTTATCACTGATAGCAATTTATCATTTTAATGAAGATGCAGCTAAAATTGACCTTTTAAACTAGAGAAATAAAAAAATAAATTTTCACCCACTTTCAACACTCCTAGCCTTCGCATGTTAACATTGGATCAAATCATTTTTTCTTGGCTTCTTCTGATTCTTAATTTGGACATGTTATGATGCACAGATTTATTGCTGGTATTGCTGGGTTGACTATGGTGCTAATGGGGCTAATTGTTACCTAACCTACCTCTCTGCATGTAACAATGGATATTTTTGTTTTTATCTAGACAAGCTCACGATTTTTGCTTATTTTGTTTACCAATACATTATTGTTTGTGCCCTAACAGATGACATGGACAGGATGCCAGGCTTGCTGCCTGACGCTTCCCTGGATGTGAGGACCACAAGAGGGCACAAGACTTCCAACTATCTACCATAGGGAACAAAACAGCAGGCGGCTGCAGGAACAGCTGCTTCTCCAGGTCTGCCCCAGCACAAAGGAAATCACGGTGCATAAGGTTCACTAATATAAAGAAACATAAACTACATAAACTTCACTAGTGTAAAAGAGGTTGATGATACTAGAGAACGCTGTCAATAGTTTTACAGAAAAACAGGATTTAGAGCTGTGTTTTTGGTCCAAATAATTACTTACACTGGCCAAACAAGGGTTTGCAGAATTAATGATGGTTTTACTATCCCTGCAAAATCCTCAGTTCCCTAATTAACTGAGAATCCCGCCTGCATGACAAGGACAAAAACACCTATTCCTGATGCCCAGCTGTATGACAGAGTAACTACACAGCACCTCCAAGGGTCATTAGAGGACTCCCAGGACTGTTAGGGATCCTTGAAACAGAACTGCCTATATGGATGGTTTGGCACTTTCAAAGGTTTGCATTTGCTTCACTGCAATTCTATTCAAATATAATACAAATTTCATACAAATTCTTTTCCGCACAGTGTAAGGCAAGAAAAAAAAAAGTATAGCTAGAATTAAATATATCTGAAAATTACTCACTTTACAGTCTTTAAAAGTTCCTTTAAACTACACCATCTGAGCAAGTATTAACCTCTTTCGCAGATGATTTATCTATAACTTCACAGATAATAAAGTGTCCCTATACACAGATACACATCATATATACTTTCTAATTAATATTTATAAATTTTGCAATTTACTTTGCTAAAAAAGTGTAGTTATATACATCCATATTCCTTCAAAATAATCCTAGATTCTGTATATTATGCAGTGAAGTGATACCCTGCACAATCTCAGCTTGTATCATACCACACTTCCAAACAAGAAATCACAAACGGAACTTTTTTTGCCCTGGAAAATCATTAGTAACTTATAAATATCTTTCTTCAAAATTTCATTAAATTGTGTACAGGTGTTCCATGCTACAAAGACCTGCCAGTAGAACTTCAGCTGAGGAAAATAAAGATGGAAGAGAATTACAGAAGCACCAATACAAACTTAGCACTATATCATTAACCAAAACAGTATAATGCCTCAGAGACACAACTCTCTCATCCAGATCTTAAACTACACCTTCCTTCAAATGATCAGCAATTGTGGCTCTTGAGAGAGTTTAGGTGGAACTGAACTCAAAGGGAAGAGCATTTTGCTGCAGCCTCTTCCATCCTCTGCCTAAGTTCACCTCTGCCTAAGAACACTCATAGGGTAACTACAGCTAACTTTGTACTACACTTTCTATTAAGAGCCTTGTTTTTTGATGCTTATCATTTGTTAAATGTAAACAGTTTGGGATTCGATTTTATCTACTGAACATGGGCCTCAAGGTGACTCAGCCATAGGCATAATGTAAAATGCATGAACAGCACAAGCCTGGGCGAGAGAGCATCCTACTGGACTACTCACCCCACAAATCACATGTCCTGGTGAGTAAGGAGATGTGACTTCCATCAGGTTATTACATAAAAGGTTACTGCCGCCTTTTTCAAAGTGGTTCATTTCTTCAGCCAGCTGAGATGCACACATAATCTCTGCGGGTCACTTCAGGTGCTGGATCAAGGGCAGATGACTGTGGTGGGATTAGATTTAGGCAGCTCCTCACCACCCTGCTTGCCTTACCATCAACTCTCCCAAGTGAATGGCTCTGAATGGGCTTTATAAAGGACTTGTGTACCTCTGAATTCAGCATGGATGTGCTTAGTTGGTATATGCATAAATCTTCTACTGGGTATGACCTAAGTCTGCCCCTACAGAAATGAGATTAAAACAGCTCAGTGCCGCATTGTGCTTCATCCCTCCATCTGCCACCGAGTTCCTGCATAAAGCTTCCCATATTGCTGGTATAGCAACGATATGTATGATTCCTACATGAGGCAAATCATGCTAATTACATTTTCAGCTGATTGTTAATTGTATGGTCCTTCTCTTCTAAGCACCAAACTTGAGGCGTTCAGGTCTGAGTTGCACTGAATATTCACAGCTGTAAATTTAACACAAGCCTTGTGCTAAGCATATATGGTGAAGTAAAACCTCAAATTCCTTAAATTCTGTAAACTGGTGTTAATCTTTGCATCTCATTTCCATTCTGTAAAATGTGATTTGCAGGGGAATAGTTATAGCAGGATGCTCTGCCTGGAATGGGGTAAAACAAATAGAACAATGCCCTGTTTGCAAATCTGTTAGTGGTGAATGGAGAGGGGTGCTTCATGCTGCTTTTGGTGTTGAATAATGCTGAAACCAGACAACTTACCTAAAGCTGCTGAGATGACACAGCTGGCCTGGAGACCTCTGATCACTTTGTACTATAAAAGTCCAGTCATACCTTTTAAGGGCAGGGTTTTCCTTCTTGGAGTGTGTGTCTCTTGAGTGGGGATGCCCCTCAAGGTTACTCCTTGAGGCAGAGCAAAAGAGAATTGCCCACAATTGTTGGTATGAGTGAGTAACTTAATAATTGTTTTTTGTCAGCTTTAATATAATCGCTTCAATATTGCTTCAAAATAGTGCACTATACTAGTAGTTATAGCTTCTATACTGTGTAGTAAATAATCCTGATTTAAGATCTTTTTGTCTAACTGGTATCATAATATATAATTTATTTTTCTATAACTATATCTAGTATAAAGGTTTAATTACACCTATATGATCCTCTAGAAATAAACTGTTGACAAAGTCTGGGGCTGAGACTGGATCCAGCCATACCTAGACTCCGAGGAGTTTAGAAAGCAAAGGGGTCCTTTCTGCACCCTGTGACTCAGCAGGAGGGCTTCTCTCATAAACTTTGCCTGAAGCTCCCATTCTGTCTATGACCAATTCCCATTCTTCCTATGACAACAGAAAAAATCTAAGATTCTGCGGTGACAGGATTTTTTTACTGACGCAAAACATTTCATTTCCAGTCAGGTCAATAAAAGTATTAACCTGTCTTTCTCTACAGGCATCCTTTTGGGTTCCACAACATATTAACTATCCTCTTGGGAGGACAGCATGGCCACACAGTGTACTAAGGCTTAACCTGTGCCTCATTTGAGTGGTGGAGCAAAGGAATCACATGACAGATGTATTAGAAGACATGAAATTTAACCAAAAATCTGGTACCTGTATTAAAAGTCATTATACATTATGACTGAGAGGAGTTGGAAATCTTCAGAAAACACTGAGTTTCATTTATGTATTCTCTAATTCTTTTGAATTTTTATTGACTCAAAGGGAATTCAGTGTCTTGCCTTAGTTTGACAGAAAGGGGTGTTAGGATGTGGTCACTTCCTACAGTGACCACATTTCATTCAACTCTTTATTAATACTAAATGGTAATAATAATAATAATTCCTGTTACTTCTGTGCTCAGTACAAGATTGAAGGCGGGGCAATAAATAATACATGGAACCACACACTGAATTACATGGATTAGAAGAAAAATAGTTTTATATAAGCCCTTATTTAGATAGTGACGCCCATCAACGGTACAGAATGGGAAAGGCAACCTATGTTAGAAACATATATTCTGTGTCATGGAAAGCCTAATCAAAATTCATGTAGACAAAACAGTCAGTTTTTTAATCCATTTTAACTT